TTTTTTAAAAGAAGGGGGATGTAATATTCATATGTGTCAGCATACTGAATTGTAATTGGATGCATTCTACTGTCATATCATACTGTGCTATGATTGGTTAAGACCACCCAGGTGGTGAGGTCCTTCTAAAGATGATCATGGTCAGAGACACATGAACATGCCAGTTATAGCTAGTTAATAAAGAGCTACGTTTATAAATATCCTGTCGTCCTGCATTCTATTATTTTGTACAAAGCATACAAAACAAGACACCCACAAACAAACAAAAAATGTTAAAATGCAGATTTTCAGCCAGTGCCTGACTTTGCGCAACATTGTATGTTTTGTAGCCTACATTACATGTGTAGGTTTAAAGTATTCCAATTTATTTATTTTTTTTATGTTTAAGATGAATGGTTTTGTATGGTTTTATGTTTTTGTAATGTTTTTTATTTGTATGGTTTGCTAAAGCAATTTTCACGGGGCTAGATAACATCCGTTTGGTTTTCTTCATGTACAGTTTATCAGTTTTTCTAGGTTTCGTTTAGCCTGGTTGACGCGCGACCAGCGACCTGTGAAGAGATACCGCGTTCACATGCATATCAGAACTAGGATACTCTGACATTTCCAACTTGTTAACTGGTTGAATGCAGCATGTGTATACAGTACCAGTCAAAAGTTTGGACACACCTACTCATTCACAGGTTTTTATAATTTTTTTTACTATTTTCTACATTGTAGAATAATAGTGAAGACATCAAAACTATGAAATAACACATATGGAATCATGTAGTAACCAAAAAAGTGTTTAACAAATCAAAATATATTTTATATTTGAGATTCTTCAACGTAACCACCCTTTGCCTTGATGACAGCTTTGCACACGCGTGGCATTCTCTCAACCAACTTCGTAAAAGTGACAAACAGACACGTTTTTATTTTCGTCACAAACTACTACTTCTTCTTCTTCTTCTTCTTCTGTGAGTTTTATGGCGGACTACATCCAAAAGTCACAAACTACTTCATATCGACAGAGTGCCAGTAACGGCCTGCACATGCGCAGTTCGGCGCCAGACCACCTTATTATTATTATTATTCTATGGTATAATGGCGTTCGCAACAATTGGGTGTGCATTCCGCCACCTACTGTGCGGGTGGATAATAAGGATCCCAAAAATATTTATTTGGGGGTAAAAATAAATACAATATCATACAAACTATCAACAAAAAATGTACTAAACAAAATCAACCTGCTTTTCTGTTAAAACAAATTCTAATCAGGTCCCTACACAGGCTCAGATTACCCAACTCATTGTTATTACAGTATTTGGGCCCCGTGTAGCTCAGTTGGTAGAGCATGGTGCTTGCAACGCCAGGGTTGTGGGTTTGATTCCCACGTGGGGCCAGTATGAAAAAAATTAAAATGTATGCACTCACTAACTGTAAGTCGCTCTGGATAAGAGCGTCTGCTAAAATGTAAATTACCAACTTTTTGTATTACTTTCATACAGGATTTCTATAAGAATATAAGTGTGCGTATGTGTGTTGGGAATGCATGTTAAAAAATGGCTAACATTATGGGGGGGGACTCAAAATGTTGACATTAAAATCAACATACAGTCCCAACACAGTGCACACACACACACAGTTGCCTGGGGCAATTGCCTGGGGCCTCACATCATCAGGGGGCCTCGTGATTTTTTAATTGCATTACTCTCAATTTACTGTTGGCAGTTAGAATAGTAGAATAGACAAGGTTGTAATTTCGAAATTTGGTAGTGCATCAGCAGTTTTCCTCTTGTTATGTCAGTCACTGACAGTCACTCAATTAGTCCATGTCAGCTAACATTCTATAGATAGGTAAATTAGTCTAGCCAGCCAACTAAACCTTGTAGTAATCTTGGCTGATTTGGGCTAAAACCAAATCTCACTTAAGGCCCACAAAAGGCTCTGGGTGGGGGCCTCAGACTGGCCTCTGACACACACACACACACACACACACACACACACACACACACACACACACACACTTATTCTTATAGAAATCCTGTATGAAAGTAATATAATAAATTGGTAATAATAACAAAGGAGTTGTCTAATCTGATTATTTTACATACTCAAACAGAAATAAAAACGTTGTCCTTGGTTGTCTAGTGACTGAGCCAGGATTCAGAGCCTGTCTGCCGACCCCTAATTGGTATTTATATTATTATGGTTCCCTATTAGATGCTGCCAAGGCAGCAGCTACTCTTCCTGGGGTCCAGGGTCCAACTAAATTAAGGCAGTTATACAGTTTTAAAAACATTACAATACATTCACAACAGATTTCACAACACATTAAGTGTTGTGAACACAAAATCCCTCATTAGCAACCTACATTCGAAAACGAAACCTACCAATGTGACGTACCCTAATGACGCTCTAGCTGAGGAATACAAACGGTGTCTGGCACACGTGATCACTTATGGCATCTTTGGCACAAGTGTTCTTATAATCATTTGCTAACGAAACCTCCTGCAATATAGTTAACCCGAAGAAATTGCTCTAGCAAACCATTAAAACAAATATTTTCTCTGAGACAACTTATTATTATTCTTCAGACACTTCCATCCTACTAATGTGGTTATGTCAAAGACGGTTTAGTATGGTTTTAGAAACTCTGTGGTTATGTCCAGTCAGTCATATTTTAAAAAGTAAAGCTATTGCATTTATTTAACTCCTACAACTCCCAGAATGTACCCGGGGTGTTAATGCATTTTGCAGCAGCGGCGAACGTCATACGATCAGAGCCCTTTGCGACATACGGTCATGTGATGTGGACGGGGTTTGAAAGACTACGCATGTCCTATGTTTTCGGGTAACAAAAAATTTAACTGTTTCTTTGACTGTATTAACAGGGGTGATCATAACACACGCGATGCTTACGACTGGCTTTTTGTAAATACGTGAGTTTTATAACGAAGTTAATCTTGATTAGATAGCAAATGGCTCTTCATGGCTGACATACCTACCTAACAGTAGCTAGTTACAACAAGAATGTGCCAAGTACCTTATACCTTTTTAATAAAACGGTAATCAAATACAACCACCGACTGTTTCCTCATTGCTGCTGAGATAAAACGTTAACTTGGCGCGAATGCGCATGTGCCAATCGAATCTTAACGAAACAGTCAGTGGTTGTATTTTATTAACGAGGTACTTGGCCAGCTACAGCCAGAGGATTCAGCTAGGTAATTAAGGGATATGGCAGCAAGAATATTATGTCAAAGTCTGAGGCTATTGTAGTCCTAATACCGTGTTGATAAAATATTCTGTCTGTGTGTATCTCTGTCTGTCTGTCTACAAAGATGAAGAACAGGTGACATGGAGAACTACAGTAAGGCACGGACGGTGGAGCAGCCCTGTCCCTGCCCATTCCTTGGCCTCTCCAGCGACACCACTGAGGTTCGAGTGAAGGATGGCAGCAAGATCCGCAACCTCATGCGCTACGCCCTGAGCCGCATGGAGGTCAAGCCCAGGGCGCTGGAGGGCGAGGGGGGGCGTCCTAAGAGCGAAGAAGGGGATAGCACCACCGAGGTCCAGGAAGCAACATGCTCCCAGGCACCGGAAAAGATGCCCAGCCGGCAGATAGTATTCACTGGGACGGGGAAGGGGGTCTCCAAGGCCATCACATGTGTGGAGATCCTGAAGCGCCGTGTGAAAGGCTTGCACCAGCAGACCAGGCTGCTCTTCAGCCCTGTCCTGGAGGTGTGGGAACCCCTGGAGCCTGCGGCAGGCCTGGACAGCCTCACCGTCAACAGGAACATACCTGCTATTTGGGTACTGCTCTCCAGAGACCCCCTGGATGCCAGCCTGCCTGGGTACCAGGCTCCAGGGAACTTTGATGCCCTGTGGGCACAGGCTGCCAAGGAGGACGCAGGGGTTGCTGGTGGACAGAGGCATGGGGGCAGGAGGAAGAGGGGAGGTGGTGGTGGTGGTGGTGGTGGTGGTGGAAGGGGTAAGGGACCAGGAGGCCCTGTCAGACAGACTGGTCGATCCAGAGGGCCAGGGAAAGGCCAGAGTCGTGGTAAGGGGGCGCTGGCAGGGCAGGAATGAGATGTAATCTGGGTGTGGAAGAGGACTTTGGACCAACCTGTTAACATCACAGGACAGTCCCCATCGGCTGATGGGTGCACTAAAAGTCAACCTATCCAACTTTTCTGTTATTGTGTTATGCTTCACTTTCTGTTAGAGAGGATGTGAGGGAGTGCCTAAGTTCATAGGTCAAGCCTGAATTGTCTGAATTGGGTGGAACTGTTTCATGACAGATGATACTTTTTTTTGTGCTCTTATACTTAAGTTCAATATTTTGTTTCATTCAATTATGGAAATAAAGTTTAAACCTGTACATGATTGCGCTGGTCATTTTGATGATACATTTTTATAGAAAATGTATTATAGCTTGTTCTGCAACTACATGCAGAACAATAATAACACTTATACTTTTCAAAGGAATGTAATTGATGAATGTTATTGCTGGAGAAATAAGTTAATTGAATGCTCTCTTGAGAAGCTGAACAACAATGCCATCTTGTGGTGAAAATGTAATGATGCCAGAATTTGAAGGTAGAGCGGTCTTGGAACACAAAGGTGTTCCTTCCCTGTCAAAACATCAGCTGTCAATCACAGACCATTTCTTTAGCCTATAAGTCTGATTGTGGAGCTATATTTCTTCATAATCCACATTGGGATAACCTACATGTAAATGACAAAATATTGAAAAGTTATATTAAAAGTGAATTCCCTTCCAGAATAAAACCAAAGCATAGCAAGCAGTGAATGTGTGTAGTGGGATCAGAGTGGCAGATGTAGGTAACCTAGTCAGTCACAGCCAGCGCCTTATCCCTTTATCCTCTTCAGTGGATTCTCTTGAGGGAGCAGCCGCTGTGCGTGGAATGGCCTGGCTGGAACAGATGAGGATTAAGGGGTCTTAACTAGGACCTGACTCCCTTACAGGACGTGTGTGCTAGTCAGGAGGAGAGATGCACCAGGGAGAGGAGACGGGGAAGTGGAAGGGACAAAAGAAAAGGATGAGTGGCGGTGGACGAGCCAGCTCGAGACAGGTCCTGGTTCTCTCATGGCTGCTCGTTGTCCCCTCTCTGACCCAGGTTCGCCACTCTCTGCCAGTCTTGTGGATCATGCCACTGACAGACAACCCAGGGCAGGGAAACCTCACGGCATCCGTGTTGCCTGCTGTCCAGCTCGCTCTAGACGACCTGAGCAGGCAGCAGACTCCTCTAAGAAACTATGAGATCAATTTTCACGTCATAGATTCAGAGGTAACATTTGCTGGTGTATTAGTGGAATGGTGGTTTTTGACCAACAAGCCTATTTTAGTGGTGTGTACATTGTTTACGTGGAGAACAATGTGAAAGGTAGTGTATTTTAATGCAAAAATAAAATGTAAGCTGTTCAGTGCATTTGGAGTCATGATGAAGGGAGTGAGACAGTTCACTTTGTTTTCTCTTTGTCTTTTAGTGTGATACTGCCAAAGGACTTAAAGCCTTCTTTGATGCTATATGCTTTGGGCCAAAGTACTTGATGATCTTTGGAGGTTTGTGTCCATCAGTCACATCCGTCCTTGCTGAATCACTACAGCGGTGGAACCTTGTACAGGTATCGAGCACTGAGCAAACTTTTTACATCACAATGTATTGTTTATCAGAATAGAGCATGTTATTTAATAGGTGACATACAGTGCATTCGGAAAGTATTCAGATCCCTTGACTTTTTCCACATTTGTTACATTACAGCCTTGTTCTAAAATTGATTAAATTAATTTAAACAACGGAGATATCAGATTTACATAAGTATTCAGACCCTTTACTTAGTACTTTGTTGAAGCACCTTTGGCAGAGATTACAGCCTTGAGTCTTCTTGGGTATGACGCTACAAGCTTGGCACACCTGTATTTGGGGTGTTTCTCCCATTCTTCTCTGCAGATCCTCTGCAGGTTGGATAGGGAGCATTGCTGCACAGCTATTTTCAGGTCTCTCCAGAGATGTTCAAGTCTGGGCTCTGGCTGGGCAACTCATGGACATTCAGAGACTTGTGCCGAAGCCAGTCCTGATTTGTCTTGGCTGTGTGCTTAGGATCGTTGTCCTGTTGGAATGTGAACCTCCGACCCCAGTCTGAGGTCCTGAGCGCTCTGGAGCAGGTTTTCATCAAGGATCTCTCTGTACTTTGCTCTGTTCATCTTTGCCTCGATCCTGACTAGTGTCCCAGTCCCTGCCACTGAAAAACATCCCCACAGCATGATGCTGCCACCACGCTTCACCGTAGGGATGGTGCCAGGATTCCTCCAGATGTGACACTTGGCATTTAGGCCAAAGAGTTCAATCTTGGTTTCATCAGACCAGATAATCTTGTTTTATCATGGTCTGAGAGTCTTTAGGTGCCTTTTGGCAAACTCCAAGCAGGCTTTCATGTGCCTTTTACTGAGGAGTAGCTTCCGTCTGGCCACTCTACCATAAAGGCCTGATTGGTGGAGTGCTGCAGAGATGGCTGTCCTTCTGGAAGGTTCTCCCATCTCCAAGGAGGAACTCTAGAACTCTGTCAGCGTGACCATCGGGTTCTTGGTCACCTCCCTGACCAAGGCCCCTTCTCCCCCGATTGCTCAGTTTGGCCGGGCAGCCAACTTTAGGAAGAGTCTTGGTGGTTCCAAACTTCTTCCATTTAAGAATTATGGAGGCCACTGTGTTCTTGATGACCTTCAATGCTGCAGACATTTTTTGGTACCCTTCCCCAGATCTGTGCCTCGACACAATCCTGTCTCGGAGTGCTACGGAAAATTCCTTAGTGAAAAGAAAAACAACTTTTTTCGCTTTGTCATTATGAGGTATTGTGTGTAGATTGATGAGGGAAAAAAATAATTTAATAAATTTTAGGACAAGACTGTAATGTAACAAAATGTGGAAAAAGTCAAGGGGTCTGAATACTTTCAGAATGCGCTGTACATGCAAATCACACAATTGCTGGTACTTTCAAATAATGATATTGTGCTCTTCTAGCCTAACATTATCACACATTCAATATTTCAGCTATATTTCCCTGCAACAACGCCTGTTTTAGATTGTGAGAAAAAATATCCCAACTTCTTCCGAATGGTCACCTCGGACAACACAGTCAATCAGGCTGTTGTGAAGATCCTACAGAACTACAAGTGGAGGCGTGTAGGAACTCTGACCCAGGATGTACAGAGGATCTCAGAGGTACCACTGACCTTGGTACCACTTTCTGTCACATGGCTGTTTCAGCTGGTGTACAATGTAGACGTTATCACCATTTACAAGCAGGGATACAAAGGTATCAGGCAGTAGTCTATTGATTCAGACTGCTGACAAACTATGCTGTCTTGTGTGAAATCTGAAGTTTATATTGTCCTGTCCTTGACAGATAAGGAGAGATCTGACTAAACAGCTGAGCAAGGCTGATGTTATGGTTGCTGTAACTGAAAGCCTGTCCACTGACCCATGTGTCAATGTAAAGAAATTGAAGGTGAGTAATATGCCCAAATCATCTTTACTTACAAAGTTTGAATTAGGCACTCAATTGCATCATTTCAGAAAATTGCAGCTGCATCGTCAATGTGTCAATCTCGAGGCTCTGCCTTTTCTTTGTTTTGTATCATGTCCCTTTCGACAGGATATGGATGTAAGGATCATTATTGGGCTGTTTGACGAGAATTCAGCGTCCAAAGTGTTTTGCTGTGTGAGTACATAACCAGAAAACCTCAGTTTAAATCTGATGCGATGCAACACCATGCCATCATTGATGATTAGCACTTGTTTGAGACAAAGATTAATGGCAGTTTAACAGAGCATTCATCATACTATTACTTTTTAATTATCTTTATGATAACCATTTGCCTTTGTAATTACCCTATAACCTTTTTCTTCTAGGCTTACAGCCTGAACATGTTTGGCGGGAGGTATCAGTGGATCCTCCCTGGCGGTTACCAGGGGAGCTGGTGGGAGGAGGCCAACTCCTCCAACTGTACTTCAAACAACCTGCTGACCGCTATGGAGGGCCATATCATTGTGGACTTCACACACCTCAGTAACAGACAGATCAAAGGCATCTCAGGAAGGGTAGGTCCTGAGGTTTTCAGCAAGGAACAGCATATTCCGTCGATACTGTACCATGCTCTCTCTGATGGATAAGTAGTGTTTATAACAAAAATTGGCCATAATGTTGAAAACATCAAACAGTGTATTTGCAATGTTGCAAAGGTAATGCAAGAGCATTAAGAGAAGTTAAACAAGCACCTTTGTGTTTCTGTTTAGACCCCACAAGAGTATGACGAGACTTACAAACAGAGAGCTGCTGCAGAAAGGGTTAGTTGCCAGCAAGTTCCATGGGTTTGCCTATGATGGAGTTTGGGTGATGGTGAAAGCATTGACCAGGGTCATTGAGTCGGTAAGATACAGAGAGAGATATGACATCCACCGGAACTTCACAGTCAGCGATAAGGAGATTGGACGAATGGTCCTGGATTCCATGAAGGAAATCCGCTTTGAGGGTGTAACTGTAAGTTAGCATGACTGTTGTGTTAACATTCCATTTTAGATAGATCATTGCTCCAAAAGACTAAAGATAAGATGTGTTTTACAAATAATGTTCTCAAATTGACAGTTTTTTTTTTTTTTTCAGGGTCAAGTTCTGTTTAGAAATGGTGAACGCATGGGAACTATTAACTTAAGCCAATTTCAAGGTAAACATTACAGATGTGTATTTCCATGAATTTAGAGAACATTCTTTGTGAAATATTATCAACTGCTTGTGTTTCCACAGAGGGCCGGGAGGTCAAGATAGGCCAGTATAATGCTGAAGCAGAAGTATTGGAACTCATCAACCACTTAATCAGGTTTCAAGGTAGGAGCTACAGTATTAGGACAAGGCATTAAGCAAGTTCATGATGACACCTCAACTATAAAAAAAAAGACCACCAATTTACCATTAGAGTTGTTTGTTTTGTGTGTTTTGTTTTACAGTCTTTGCGTTCTTCTTGTTTGTGCCTTTCACAGGGATGGAGCCGCCTAAAGACCGGACACACTCCCAGCGATGGGATGTCAGTGTTCCCCTCTGCCATCATCTTGTCATCCACCACTGGCCTGGCCATGCTCATGGCACTCTCCTTCCTCTTCTTCCACATCAAGCACCGCAACCATTGGTATGATCATTATTCCAAGCGTCTTGTATTGGCTTGTAATTGAACTAGATACTTTTTGAGGTAGCTTACATCGAAACACAAGCTTGTTCTTTCTTTCATTGTTGTCCATCTTACTCAGTCACATGCTCTGCTCAGACAAGGCAGCCTGTTAAAATATCTCAATATTTGTTTTTCCCATAGGGTCATTAAGAAGTCCAGTCCGTCCATGAACTACCTCATTATCCTGGGTACGATGCTGGCCTGTACCTCCGTCTTCCTCTATGGGCTGGATGGATCCCTTGTGACTGACAAAGTGTTTGTCACGCTTTGCCCTGTGAGTACACATGAGCTTAAACGTCTAAGCATTTTAGTGATAAGAAGAGAGAACCCTTGTTTAAAAGGGATGCATGTTGTTTTAGACATTTTCCTCCTCTTGTCACAGATTCGCACATGGATTCTTTCTGTAGGATACACCACAACTTTTGGGGCATTGTTTGCAAAAACCTGGAGGGTCTGGACAATTGTCAACAATAAGGAGATAATGAAAAAGGTAAACTCAAAGTTAAAAAGGTAAACTCAAAGTTAAAAAGGTAAACTCAAAGTTAAAAAGGTAAACTCAAAGTTAAAAAGGTAAACTCAACGTTAAAAAAGGTAAACTCAAAGTTAAAAAGGTAAACTCAAAGTTGAAAAGGTAAACTCAAAGTTGAAAAGGTAAACTCAAAGTTGAAAAGGTAAACTCAAAGTTGAAAAGGTAAAACTCAAAGTTATAAAGGTAAACTCAAAGTTATAAAGGTAAACTCAAAGTTTAAAAGGTAAACTCAAAGTAAAGAAGTTAAAGAAACTCAAAAAGTACAGCCCTTTTAATCACCATCTCTCCTGTCTAATATTTAATACTCATCCTCTCCCTCTCTGTTCTTTCTTCAGATTATTAAGGATTACCAACTATGGATTATTGTCGGGGGAATGCTGCTGATCGATCTGTGCCTCTTAATCTGCTGGCAGATGGTGGATCCACTCAGACGAACAGTGGAAGAGTTCAGCCTAGAGGTAACACTTTAATATAAACTCAGCAAAAAAAGAAACGTCCTCTCACTGTCAACTGCGTTTATTTTCAGCAAATTTAACGTGTAAATATTTGTATGAACATAACAAGATTCAACAACTAAGACATGTGACTAACAGAAATTGAAAAATGTGTCCCTGAACAAAAGGGGGGTCAAAATCAAAAGTAACAGTCAGTATCTGGTGTGGCCACCAGCTGCATTAAGTACTGCAGTGCATCTCCTCCTCATGGACTGCACCAGATTTGCCAGTTCTTGCTGTGAGATGTTACCCCACTCTTCCACCAAGGCACCTGCAAGTTCCCTGGACATTTCTGGGGGGGAATGGCCCTAGCCCTCACCCTCCAATCCAACAGGTCCCAGACGTGCTCAATGGGATTGAGATCCGGGCTCTTCGCTGACAATCCTGTCTTGCAGGAAGTCACGCACAGATCGAGCAGTATGGCTGGTGGCATTGTCATGCTGAAGGGTCATGTCAGGATGAGCCTGCAGGAAGGGTACCACATGAGGGAGGAGGATGTCTTCCCTGTAACGCACAGCTTTGAGATTGCCTGCAATGACAAGCTCAGGCCGATGATGCTGTGACACACCGCCCCAGACCATGACGGACCCTCCACCTCCAAATCGATCCCACTCCAGAGTACAGGCCTCGGTGTAAACGCTCATTCTTCGACGATAAACACGAATCCGACCATCACCCATGTTGAGACAAAACCGCGACTCGTCAGTGAAGAGCACTTTTTGCCAGTCCTGTCTGGTCCAGCGACGGTGGGTTTGTGCCCATAGGCGACATTGTTGCCGGTGGACAGTCTGAGCACTGATGGAGGGATTGTGCATTCCTGGTGTAAACTCGGGCAGTTGTTGTTGCCATCCTGTACCTGTCCCGCAGGTGTGACTTTCGGATGTACTGATCCTGTGCAGGTGTTGTTACACGTGGTCTGCCACTGTGAGGACAATCAGCTGTCCGTCCTGTCTCCCTGTAGCGCTGTCTTAGGCGTCTCACAGTACGGACATTGCAATTTAATGCCCTGGTCACATCTGCAGTCCTCATCCTCCTTGCAGCATGCCTAAGGCACGTTCATGCAGATAAGCAGGGACCTGGGCATCTTTCTTTGGTGTTTTTCAGAGTCAGTAGAAAGGCCTCTTTAGTGTCCTAAGTTTTCATAACTGTGACCTTAATTGCCTACCGTCTGTAAGCTGTTAGTGTCTTAACAACCGTTCCACAGGTGCATGTTTTTTAATGTTTTTTGTTTTTGAACAAAGCAGGAAAAACAGTTTTTTTTAAACCTTTTAAAGAAGACCCGTGAATATTTGGTTTTTCGAATTATTTTTGAAAGACAGGGTCCTGAAAAAAGGACTTTTTTTTTTTGTGAGTTTAATATAATTTTTTGTTTTTAACCTTGGTCTTGTTCTTTTTTTTATTTTTTTGGTTGGGGGATACAGCCATTTTTTTAAAGTTACCCCTCTCAATTTAAACCCCTTTTTGTTTAATTTCCCCAGTATTGTGTGCTTGCTATGTTTTGCAGTATGCCCCTTCTTTGATGCCCTTTTGCTCTTAGAAAGGGAATTTTTATTTGATTTTATTTTATTTTCCCCTTTAAGAGTCTAGCAATCTGAAAGGAGCAATAAAAGTATTTTTAATTATTTTTATCATTTTTTAGTCCAGATTGTATATTACTCAGTATATCTTTTAGAAAAAAACAGTGGAACAGTTCAGCTTGGAGGTTAATCATCAGACAGGGTAGTATTGGCCCAAGGGGGCCTTCGTCCCATCATCAACATGCGTTAATTTTAAAAAGGTGCAAAATGTGTAATGCTCTGGGAAGTATCATTAAATTTAGTTAACGGTTTACCATTCACTCTGCCCCCCTCCACAAAATCCACCCTATTGCCCAAACCCTTTTAGCCCTGGACACTATATACTCCCACTGAAATTACCACCAGAGTTGAATCCCCTTTGTTGAAGGTAAAAAGTTTAACCTCGTACATCAGGGTTGGGAATGAAAAAAAATAGGGGCTTTTTAAAGAAATGAGATTTTTTGGTTTTACTGTCGATCCAAGATTACAGTAAATTGGGTAGGGTTAACCTCTGCTCTAGTTGGAGTGACCATGGGGGTTGTGTAAAGGGGTCATTCGGGAAAAGTCGACCATGTGGTTGTAGAAAAAAGGGGTCTTTTGGAACGACCAGGGGGTTTTTTGAAATGGCCATTTCGGAGGGACCTTTGGGGTTTGTAAAAAATGGTCGGTTGGAGTCGACCATGTGGTTGTGTAAAGGTCTGGTCTGGAGCCGATCTGTGGTAGTAGTAAATGGCTCATTTTGGAGTGGGCCCCATGTGGTTGTAGAAAAGGCCTGGTCTGGAGTCGCCCATGGGTTGTATTTAAATGGCTCGGTCGACCCGATATGTGGTAGTAGTAAAGGGTTTAAGTTGGAGTCGACCTTTGGGTTGAGTAAATAGTTCTGGTCAAAAGTCAACCATGGGGTTTAGAGAGTAAAAAAGGAAACTCAGAGGGGATAAAAATTTTAAAAAATAGTTTTTCCTTTTTTGGGGTGTTTCAGACTGATCGTGGTGGTAAAGAGGGTTAAACAAGGCCCTTTGGAGCAGTAAAAAAGTACAAACATGACTAAAATGGCCCCTTTGTATATGGTACAAAGGGCTTCAAATGGGAGGATTTGCCAGAAACCCTGTTCAACCCAGGATTTTTTTAAAAACCCAAAGCGGTAATCAGGATTTTTTTCCCAATTTTTCCCTTTAGTTACTTGGATTTTTCCTGGCCTTGAGAACCGGCATAAAAACATACCATCTCCCCGATGATGATGACAGCAAGAACAGGCTGAGCTGTATAGTGACCGTCAGGTCTATCATTGGGAACATCAGGGTGTTTCCCCTGCCCCCGGGAAACCCCTAAGTAAGCTCTTCATCGGGGTTTTGGGTTGGCATCTCCTGCTGTCCTGCCCCCTGTGCTGGTTTTTCCCCCAAAGGTGTCACCTGCCTATCCAAAAACCCCCTCTTGTAACTTTTAAAACTCTCATGTTGAAATATCAAATTTTATCTCAATGTCCTCTTTTTTTACTCACACTTGTGTAAGTTAGAGATTTTGGATGGGGAAAACACCCCATCTTAAAAAAATATGATTGATGCTTCTGTTTTGTATCCTAGTTTTATAGAAACAGAGAAATTCCCAACAAGTGGACCCCAACTAGCGGTTCCAATGTGTCCTAACCAGGGGGACCGGAGCCCTCAGTTTTTTCGCAGTCTCAATCAGGGCAGCAGATCTCTTGAAAGCCTGGAAATGAAAACCGCAGTCGGGAGGAGAATACAAGGTGGTTCGACCCCTTGTCTTGAGTTAAACAATTCACAGAACTTTAAAAACCTTTGTGGTTTGAAACCCATGTGTTGTAAGCAAAAAATATTAATCCCATTCAGCCCGGGAATTTTGGGGAAATTTAACATATAAATGGTTTGCAGATTGGAAACCAGTTGGAGGATGTCGCCATGCAAGTACTGGGGAAAAGAGTGAGCCCTCCCAGTCGACGGGGGCCATGAGGGGCTTTGAGAGCCCAGGTTTGTCGGGGAGTGCCCCGGAGAACAGGGAACTCTCTGATGCATCAACTTCCTGAACAGTGGGGGAAAACATATTACTTGATACAAAAATTACATTATGCAATACAAATTTTTTCTAACTTTCTATAATTCCCCGAGTGTAAAAAAACTTTATGAACATATTCTTTTTCCGACAAGACGCCCAGGTGAATCCAGGTGAAAAAACTAGATCCCTTATTTTTGTTAAATGGTCCCCCCCAAAGGACATCACCCAATTGACACAATGGGGGATGAAATTGGGAGTAAATGGGCCAGCACCCCTGGTACGCTTTTGCACCATTTAGAGTCATGCCCCAATAAATTTGAGACTTTCGGGGGGGCAAAAGGGGAGGGGGGGGCTCAATATTAGGAAGGTGTTTTAATTTTTTGTACCTCGTGTATGTTAATATATTTTAGAAATATCTACGTATATATTTGGAAAAAAAAAAACGTCCACACATTTGCTTGTTTCCTTTTAGCGTGAAACAAAGACGGTCCGGGGCAGCTGCCAATTCTTCACCAGCCTACATGCCAGCCTTTGGGGGAATTTCTGCCAGCTTTTCCCAGTTTAGAAACCCCGACCTTCCTTTACCTTGATCCCATAGCGTATTCACATTGAAGTCATTTTTAAAAACCCAGAAAGTTCAGCAATGGGTGCTGAAAAAGGGTTTTGTGTGGAAATTACAATAGGGGCTTATTTTAGGATTTTTAGTTGATTAATTGCAGGGGAATCATGGAAAGGGTTTTCCCCTGATGGAAAAAAATTATCACATTCTGGCCGTTTCCCGTGTTCCCAACATGGGATATCTTATTGCAGCAGGAAAAATGGCAGTGGATGTATTTGCCCCTTTTGGTAACTATCTGTTTTTGTGGGCCTTTGCTGGTATGTTGTAAAATCTGGGAATTTCCGGGTTTTTGAATGCTAAACCCCGGGGAAATGAAAATAAGAAAAAAGGGAAATTTAACCCTTAAGGGTGGTAAATAAAAATTGTTTTTCCAAAAACATAGCCAAGATTTTGTTTTCTCCAAGACAGGGGAATGTTAAGAAAAAAAAATTTTATTTTATCAGCTTTAAAAGGATAAATAATGGGTTTTGAGAGTATAACCTTTTAAATGCAACAAAAAAAAAAAAAATATTTTGAAAATCCACTTTGGGGGTGCCCGACTTTTTTTTCGAGGAGAAAGTGTTGTAATAAACAAAAAAAAAAAGGAGGGATGGCTCAAACTTGGGGTTTTTAAAAAAAAGGGACATCTTCTCATGCACAAAGTGGTTAGGGATCCCCAAAAAAAATCCTTTAAAAAAAAATTCCTGTATGTTTCCCTCAGAACCCATTTTTCCGGGCCCGCATTCTGGCCCTTTGGTTTTAATGGGAAACCCCCTTAGTGGTGGTAAATTGAAAATATTTGTCATACTTGTATAAATATATATAAATATAGTATTTTAGTTATTTTATTTTGTCAGTAAAAATTTTTCCCAAAGGTAGGGGGGATTAAATTATGTTATTAAAAGGGCACCTGAGAAATTCAATCCGGGGGTTTGAAGCCCGGGGAATGGGAACCCTAAAAAAGGGATGCCTTTAGGTGGGGGATTTAAAAACCCCCAAGTGGGGGAAATAAATGATATATTAAAGGGATGAATGTTTCAATAAGTATAAGAAAAAATAAGCCCCAAAAGTTTTAGGGTTGTTACTCAACTAGAACCTGTTTATTATTAGGGGAAAACTTTTTCCCCTTTTAAATGCCCGCTAGGGTTAAAACTTCGTTTTTGATCCACAGAAAAATGACTTTGGCGGACGGCGCCAAGTTTTGGTTCCTAAAAAGGGAATGGATTTGGGATCGCTCTCAGACTGTGGTGGTAGAACCCCCACATGAGTCAAGGGCTGGGAAGGGGAAAATTCAATCAGGCTTTCTTTCCCAAAAAGCCATTTTTTTTGAAATGGGTTTTTAGTGGCAAAAAACAAGTCATTCAGATTAAAACTAGTTTTTTCGTTTTTCAGAAAGTTTTTAAACCAAAAAAAAATTTAGAGGAAAGTAAAACGTTTTTTGATTTGTCAAAGCTGGAGGGACGATACCCTCATCTTTTTAACTGCCATGATGCAGCTGGTCGGTGTGGGGGGGAAACAAAATTTTTTTGTTTTTGGGAAGCTGCAGCAGTTATAATTTGATGGATGACTTTTAAAAGAAATAAAAATCCCAAGAATTGACAGACGAAAATGCACATTTTTTTAAATTCATTTAATTTACATCTCTGAAAAATTAAAGTTAGTTTTTGGATTTTACCCCTTTTTTTCATGCCCGTACATTTTTTTGCGGGGAATAAATCAAAGTTTGTTGAATTGAACTCAAGGAGAGAGATAAAAAAATTACTGTAAAAAATTTTTGTGAAAAAAGCCCCTGCAGGGGGAAAACAAAAAAATTTCACACCTTGCGTTCTACACCATTTAAAAAACACCCTGGGCCAAAAAGGTAGTCAAGAGCATCTCTGTGAATGGGGGTCCTTTGTTCCTATGATGAAAAAATAACAGGCGCTCACTGTTTCCACACGGTTGGGGCCCAACAGGGCCTCTCTAAATCAAAGGGGCATGCCAGTCTGTTACAAAACCCTTTCACAAATATCCCGGGTTTTCCCAACTCTGTGGGAAAAAAAAACCCCTAACGTAGAGGGCAAAGTTTGCACGACCTGCAGTCAAACAAGGGGAAGGAGGGAGTGACTTGAACGATGAAAGCAGACTCTAGATTCCGTTTCAGAGCTGCTCTTCTTCGTTGTAAATTCCCGGTTCTTCTTTTTTTTTACGCCTCGCGGGGCAGCTCGTTGGTTGACCCCGCTTGAATTCTTTTTTTCATTGGTATACCAGGGGCTTCCCAAGTACTGTCCCCCAAAATTTTTAAACCAAAAAGGCACTCTCCCAGTCTGGGACAAAAAATTTGTTAGTTTTTTTCGCCAGTTTCCAAGCCTTTAAAAAGTTAATGTGGGGGCGGTAGAATACCAGGGTCCCCATATCATCTGCTTCGGGGGGGTGGTGTTGACCAAAAGGTTTTTTTAGCCCTTTTTCGAGATTCAAAAAGTGGCGTTGGGTGTCCCTGTCCCCTTAGGCATCTTTTTAGTGAGCGGAAAATGTCTTGGTCCCGCCCTACACCCCAAAAGTTTTTAGAAGGGCCTTTGGGGGATGGGTGAAGGGCCGGGATGAGGAAGACAAAGTAGAAATAAGAAAGGACTGAGGGGGAGGTGCACACGGTTTGGGTTTTAGGTTTTGGAGCAGCTAGCGTTTTACCGTAAAATGTAAGAACGACGCCCACAAATCCCCCCCACTGACTTCAGGTTGTACGAATCATGGCTCCAGGAAGAGGCTGAAAATGGAAGGGTAAATAAAAGGAATATCAAAAAGGGAATGTGATTTTTAGCTGCTACAAATATTTATCAAGCCGGGGGGGCCCCAGGATTTGGCGGGGGAACATTACTGTGTTCCTGGCCCAACAGAAAGGGAAGCAGAGGGGGGAGAGGAGCAGTGTCGGTCCAGAACACGAAGAGGGCGCCCACTGCCTGTCGCCCGGAAACCACTAGAGGTCACACAACGTCTGTAAAAGTGCGGGCTTTTTCCCATGGCACCCTGGGTGTAGACGAAAAAACGTGGAAGCCAAGATAAGTTTTAGTAAAAATTAAAATTAGGTTGTAACCCCGGGATAGGTTGACTCACCACAATGCCAAAAAAAAGGGAGGAGGAAGGCTGCCAGGGGGAAGACAGCAATCGACAGTGTACCAGGTGGCAAAGCGAGCCCCTCCATCTGGTTTAATCAGTAGACGAAGAGTGCCTCTGTGTGCTTAGAAGGCCCCTAAAAATGCAATAGGGACGTTAGTCAAAAACGTTATGCCCTTCAAAATAAAAGGGGGAGTATTTAAAAAATTTTGTTTTAAAACATATTAATTGACCAAACCCAAAATTTTGCACAGAATGCTTGATATAATTTGATTTTCCTCACTAAAACGCAAAAATTATGACCCATAAGAACTCTCCCCATGGAAATTCCTCTTGTGCTGAAAAGACCTACTTTTGGCGGCTGAAAATTTGTGTAACAGGGTCCTGTTTTTTTTGTTACAAAATGGCATCTCAGCAGCAGGGGAGGACACTGGGGGAGAAACGGGGACAGGAATTTTGCATATCCCCTATTGCAGCATAAAGACATTACTGAATTTTAAAAAAAGGGCAAGCATTACTGTTTCGTGAAAAAAATCAAGGGGTTTTCCATGGGCCCCGGACTGCAGCAAACTTTCGAAAGTGCTAGTTTTGGGGACGCACTTTAACAAAACAAAGGGAAAATTTAACCAAAAGGTTTTTTAATAGGGGAAATAAGACAACCAAATGTGTCAGACATCAAAAAAGTTTAAAAAAATTTTTCATGGGCACCTACTTGGGGGGTATCCATTTGGCCCCGAAAAGAAATTTTTTATTTAGCCCAGAGTAGGGGTCCATAGTAGTTCAAAGGTAGAAGAACGAGGTAATTTTCAGTTGATAAAAAAGCAGGGGTTCCCCCCTCAGTGGTCATCATGAATCAACCAACATGTTATTTATTTGTGTGAGAAGAGTGGTTATAGTACCAATGGAAAAAAGTTTCCCCATCTGCTTTCCATGGAGATTTGATACATGCCATCATTTGGTTTTGTTGTGGGGTTTTTAAAATCATTTTTCCCTTTGGCATAGAAAGACAAGGGAAAGGGGGCAGCCAAACCCAGACTCCTTTGTCCCGATCAACAGAATTTAAAAGAAAGAGGGGGTAATTGGGCTTTTGATTTTCTGCCCACTCATTTGGACCTGACTAGAGCTGGCTTGGTAACTACTTCTTAAGTGAAACTTTAAGTCAGCTTTATGTAAATGAAGGATCATTCTGGTCCAAACCGTTCAACGATGTGTAGGTTGTAGCAGGTGGCATGGCTATCACAGTCCTGGGTGAACGTACTGATCCTATCAGCCAGCTGACTGCCAGC